GTCTCGGGCCCCCAGGCCAGGTTACATGGGCACTGGAATTTGGAGGCACCAGACCCCGGGATAAGACCCCAAAGGGCTTGTCTTCTTAGAATGGGTTCCGTTTTTCCCCAGCCACAGTCTGTTTGAGGAATGATTTGTGATTTCCATTGTCTTTCCAGGTGAATCTTTATGGTTCACTGCCAAGAGCAGGAAGGGCCCCCACATCACCAATGTTGGACCCCCAGCAGGGCCAAGAGGCGGGGGCAGGGGCAAGGCTCCGTTGCCACCTGTCACAGGTGAGCTACCTGATGTCCACGCAGGTGTGGTCTCCTGTCTCAAGTTACACTTGACACCCGTATCCCTCAGGGTTCCTCTGCAGGCGCCTGGGCGTAGGAGGGATACTCTCCTTGGGGAGTTCCTGGGGTGATGGACAGTGAACTGGAAGTGTCGGGCAGAAACATACGGTGTAATAGTCTCCAGCACCTTCCTCGCTGCCCCTACTGCCTGACCCCCCAGAAAGCCCACAGGTAAGGGAGAAGCAAGAGGAGCCCAGCTCGAACCTGGCCTTGGTCTCTACTAAGTGATCTTGAGCAAGTGTTTCCTTCTTTGGGGGCCTCAGTTTCCCTGAGTGTCAGTGGTTAGGAAGGCGGTTGCCCGGGACTTGTGTACCGCTGTACAAACTAAAACTGACTGCCTCTAAGCCTTTCTAAATACTGGCAAATTTTCTAAAAACCCATGGATGATTTCTTAATCTACTTAAGGAGAACCTTTACAGAGGAGAAACCTGGCAGAGAGCCTTACCCCTGCTGATAACTGGTCCCATCACCTGCCTGAATCCAGCTGTGGGGAAATGTCAGTCTGACCTACGCTGAGGGACAGTCTGTTAAGGTGACTGGCCTGCAACCTTCAAAACCATCAGGGACACAAAAGATGAAGAGAGGCTGACGAAACCTTGCATAATAGAGTCTGAAGCGACAAGACAAGGGATTGCAACACATAATCTTGTGCTGAATTATGGACCAGGAAAACAATGGTGATTGAGATACTTGTTGAAATTTGAATATGCATCATTAGATTAAAAAGTATTGTATTAATATTGGGGCACCTGGGGGTGCTCAGTCGGTTGAGCCTCCGACTCTTGATTTCAGTTCAGGTCATGATCTCAGGGTCCTGGGATGGAGTCCCGTGTCTGGCTCCTTGCTCAGCGGGGAGTCTGCTTCTCCCGCTCCTTCTTCCTGCTTGTGCTCCCTCTGTCAAATAAATAAGTAAAATCTTAAAAGTATTGTATCAATATTAAACATCCTGAATTTAGTGATTGCACTGTGGTTATGTATCAAACGTATGTGAAGTGTTTCAGGGTGAAGAGCCACAATAATTACAAATGGTTTTGTAATAACAAGAATACAGAGAGAGAGGTGAATGTCAAATGAGGTGAATGTTAATACCCAGTGAGCCTGCTGAGGCTCCATGGGTGTTGATTGCTCTTATTTCAATAAAACGTATTTTAAATTATAGTGGAAAGATACATTCAGGTGCTCCAGAGTGCTACTTTATATATACACTATACACACATCCCATATTTTCACCACACCCTGCGTACTACGATTACCCGACTTTAGAGGAAAGGAAACAAGCTCAGGGATCAGCAGTTTGCTGGGGACCACTTAGCCAGTATGTGGCCAGCCAGGATTGGAGACCAGGACCACCCTCTGGCTGAGGCGTGGGGTTTCGCCACCTTCCCTGTAGCTCCTGCCATGCTCAGCCCCCAGGGCCAGGCCATGCTGTTCCCTGCTTGCAGACTTTGCACTTGCTATTCCAGGCTGTTCTCTCTGCTGGAAAGTCCTCTCTCCTTCCCACGCTCTCTCGAACCCTTCAGGTCACCTCCAGGAGCTCTTCTTAGATTCCCCAGCCTCAATCAGATCCCCTGGGCACTGTACCCAACTTCTCAGAATGCTCACTGCACTTGTAATTAGTTGTCCAATGTCAGCTTCCCCTGAGCACAGGGATGGTGCCTGTTTTATTAACTGCTGTAGCCCCAGTGCTGGGCACAAGAGTCACTCAAGTATTTGCTGGACTGCATTAAATAAAAAGGTGTCAGGATCCCTAGAAAAGCTGCCACTGGAGGAAACAGGAATGATCAGAACAGAAAAAGGACATCAGGGGAAAAACTGAGGAAATCCAAAGAAAGCACGGACTTTAGTTAATAACAATGTATCAATATAGGTTCAGCTGTGACGAATGGACCCCAGCCATGCTAACTGCAGGGGAAACTGGGCATGGGGTATACGGGGACTCTCTAATATGTCACAACTTTTCTATAAACCTAAGATGATTTTAAATAAAGAGTGTATTAAATATTTTTAAAAGATATTTTGAGGGTACCTGGGTGGCTCAGTCGTTAAGCGTCTGCCTTCGGCTCAGGTCATGATCCCAGCGTCCTGGGATCGAGCCCCGCGTCAGGCTCCCTGCTCAGTGGGGAGCCTGCTTCTCCCTCTCCCACTCCCCCTGCTTGTGTTCCCTCTCTCACTATCTCTCTCTCTGTCAAATAAATAAATAAAATCTTTAAAAAAAAGATATTTTGAAAATTAAAAGGATTTGGGAGGTCGGTATTTGTAGACGTGAAATAATTGCTCAGGTCTATTCTAAGGGGCAAAAAGCACCGTGCAGAAAAGCAAAGGCTCTTTATGCGTGCTCACTTCCACATGCAAATCAGCAACTTATGTTCTGGGCCAAATTTGGTTTGTTTGTTTTTTTCATATTTTTGGGGGGGCCAAATTTGGCCAGCCACCCGTTTCTGTGTGACCTCACAGCTAAGAATGGTTTTCACATTTTCAAATGGCTGAAAAAAATATGAAAAGATGAATACCATTTTGGGACTCATGAACATGATATGAAATTCAAATTGCACTGTCCGCCAATAAAGTTTTATTGGAACACGGCCATACACATTCATGTATATATTACCTGTGGCTGCTTTCCTGGGGCAACAACCATAAGTTTGGCCGTCCCTGGAGAGCAAGATGAGAAATTCCTAACAGTGGTTTCCTGTAGGATGGAGAACAGATTGGATGGGGAGGCAGGAGGGATGGTTACTTGATGTGTGTTTGATCTATGCTTAAAAATCTAATATATTCACCAAAAGAAATTTTGAGAAGGAAGGTGGGCTTCTCGGGGTTCATGGGTTGGGGGTTGAGACATTTTAAGTAGAAAGGATGATGCCCGAAGGCATTTTAGGTATCCATTATTTTCCTGTGTAGAAGCGTTTTCCAAAGGTTGGTCTGATCATGGTGGGTCAGAGTGCCTTTTCCTCCTGGAAAGGGAACTCCCCCAGGATCTACACTCCACTTCCCACGGTCCCCTGTATACTCGCGAGGGCAGCCCCGGGTGGAGACGGCTCTGACCTGCTTGACTGTTTGTTAATCCTTGGTTGTAATCAGAGAGGCCAGTCTGGTGGTGTCCAGGTGCCCCCAGATTATATTTGCTGGGAGAGAAAAGGAGTCAGGAGACAAACTGCCCAGGCAGGGGAGCAGGAAGACTAATAATAATGTTACAACGTGGCTGTTTATTAAATGCATAGGGATACATAGCCCAGGAGTGGTCCCTCCGTCCCTGACATGTGGCAACCATATTTTCCTGGCCCAGCGCTGGGACGTGCGGACTGGCAGAGAGCATTCCATTTCTTTTAATACCTTTGAAAGACCTTCTGATTTGTGAATTTCTTTAGGGAAGGCTACATTTAGTTGCACATTTTAATAAAGGCAGTTCATGAAAATAATAAAATAAAAGTACATGAAACCAGGACCGGCTGGGCAACCTGCACTTGCCCCCTCGTAAAAGGCTAATATCCCGGAGCTGCCTTATAAAGCCTGCTCCGTCCTGTCCTGACCAGGGTCTCTGTGTGCAGAAAACAACCCCCTAATTGTCATTTAATTAAACAGCACTTTCATGAATATCAATAAATATCTGTTGAATAAACGAATGACATCAAAACACGGTGACCCCTTAAACCATCTACTCTAGGTGTGAGGGTACATTTTTACATGTGTACATGTGCTTTCCTCCAATAGAGTTTCTGCAAGAGGTGGAGAGGGTGAAATTCGATCTTCCAGGTAACCTATAAAGCAAGTAAATTCTCATGGGGGGGTGGTTGAATAGTGTCCCCCAAAGAGATATACCCCATGCCCTAACCACTGGAACCTACAAATGTGAGCTTAGTTGGAAAGGTCCTTGCAGATAGAAAGTTAAGGATCTTGAGATGATTTGAGATGGACTCTAATTCCAGTAAGAGAAAGGAGAGGGAAGTCGATTGGATGCACACATAGGGAAGAAGGCATATTAACAGGAGTCAGAGACTGGAGGGATGCAGTCACAAGTCAAGGGAAACCTGGGGCCATCAGGGGCTGGATGAGGCAAGGAAGGATCTCGCCCCAGAGACTACCAGGAGAGTGCAACCCCGATGACACACTGATTTGGGGCTTCTTGCCTCCAGTACTGTGAAAGAATACATTTCTGTTGTTTAAAGTCACTGAATTTCTGGTAATTTGTCACAGTAGCTGTAGGAAACCTAAAACTACATTACTACTACTTAAAATAATAGGTAACAGTTCTGTGCCTTTGAGCAAGTTGCCTTGCTCTGGTTCCAGTCGACTCGCGGGCAAAACAGAGGCGTCTCCCCATATCTGAAAGGGAAGCAAGCATCCCTAATCCTTCCTCCCCTCTTGGGTCTGTTTTAGAACTCAATAATAAAATAAAATAGAGGAGGGGGCTAAAACGGCTTCCAAGTGTTTGCAGGACTCAAAACACCCCGCCCGCCACACACAAACCCTCTCCAACATTAGGAACCAGCGCCCCCTGCCGACTGCGCCGCTGCATTGGTTTCTCCGGGCGGAGCCGAGCAGCCTGCGCTTGCGCAGAAGGCAAGCGCTCAGGCCCGCCCCTTGAGGGGTGTGATTTCCTTGGGTCGCTTTGGTTCGGACACGCCTGCTTCCGGAGAGGGCGGGCTGACGTCTGGAACACGTGATCTTGTTCCGGCTCGCCAAAGATGGCGGCCCCCAGAGCGGGAGCGTGGAAGTTGTTGGTGAAAGACGGTGTCCACCCGCGCTGGAATTGAAACTGTGGGGACTGTGCGCCATGTCGCGACTGATCGTGAAAAACCTCCCGAATGGGGTGAGTGCAGGGCCTGGGCCTGGGAATCTGAAATTGGGACCAGCCAGGAGCTGGGGGCTAGGAAGGAGACGGTCGGAGAGAATTGAGGGGCTTTGGCCCTGGGGCAGTACTCAGGGCGCATTCGAAACCCTAAAGGGTCAGGATCCTCGCCAGATCCCCATTTGACAGTTGGGAGAGGGAGCTAGTGACCGATCCATGGTTCACAGCCGGCCCGAGAGTACCTGACTTCCATCCCGACAAGTCTCCCAACACCCCCACGTGTGCTGAATGCTCTTTCCCACAACCCCTCTCATACGAGCACGTTTGTTGTTGCTGTTGACTTGTCACTGGATCAGACCCTGCACTTACATTCCTCTACCGCTCGGGAGCCTTTGGGAGAGGCAAATGTGGAGTATTAGGTTGAGGACCTGCGTTTCGAAACCCCACTCCCGCCTTTAGGGCCCGTGGCCGTAATTTAAGGAAACTGAGTGCGTGTGAAGGGCTTTAAATCATTTATCCAATAAGTGGGGAGGGGTGACCCAGTCATACTTGTCTCTGTTTCCCTAGAGACCAGCACAGAACCTGGCACGTGGTAGGCATTCAGTAAACACATGTGGAATGAATGAGTGAAGAAGTAGCTGGATGTGTGTGGTGTCAGATGACTGGAGACAGTGTGCCGCGGTGGTTCAATCTTACCGATTTTACTATAGCTTTGGTTTGGGTGGAGAGCACCCACACCATTGGTGTGGCCAGTAAGCTCATTCCCAAAATACAAAATGTGCCCTGTGGATAGGATGAGAGATCTTCTGTACTCTTGACTAACTCCTCAGGAGCTTCTCTCTTCAGAAAGAGTGATAACACAAAGCTGTTTCTACTTTATTGTGGTTTTTTAACTTTTCTCTCCCTTCAGTGGGTTGTGGGAGAGCTATGACAGGATTTTAAGAATTCAAGCACTACAAAAAAAAAAAAATTCAAACAATACGGTGGTGTATGAAATGAGAAGCAAAGTCATTTGCTCCATCCTACCCTCTGTCTCTCTCCAGGAGTAATCATCTTCAATGGTTTGTTTTTAGGACTCCTCATAGGTATTACTCCATGTCTAAATGGTGGTGTGCTTTCTCCTCCATTTCTTGGTCTATTTACCCCAGTGACTGTGCTGACCCTCCCCCATGAAAGATGAGGAACCCGGGTCATCTGTTCTTCCCTTCCTGTGTGTTATATTATTATTTTTAATTATTCCATTATTTACTCCAAAGAGTAAACTTTCAAAATACATATCGATCCATCCACCTGCTTTAGGCAGTGTCTTTTGATGCCTCACTTTGATGGATGAGGATTTTAGCATGGCTACCCTTTCTTCCCCTCCCACTTCCATCTCACTGGGCTTCTTTCCTCATTGGACTGACTCTTTTACCATTGCTTGTGTTGTCTGGTGAATGAAAGAATTGATGAAAAAACAATAGTAGTAGCAGCTAACATTTTGAGAGCCTACTATGTGTCAGGCACTGTACCAGTTGCTTTCAGTAAAGTAACTCATTTAATCTGCAGCGAAACCCTACAAGGTAGGTTCCATTATTGTGTTCATTTTAAAGGTGAAGAAACTGAACTGCAGCAAGGGGGAAGTGACTTGCCTGAGGTCATGCACAACTGGTAATTCACAGAGCAGGGATTGAATTGAACAGTCTGCTTCTAGAATTTGCATTCCTGACCCCTACAGCCTACTATCTGTCTTTGCATGCTAGCATGCACTTTTCTTAACTCTTTCCCAACATGTATTTAGTAGTGAGTACTCGTTATGTTGCTGACCTTGTAGACAGTGGGGGATAAGACTCAGTTCCCACCTTTACAGCATTTACGGTCTAGCAGAGGACTTGGACACCAGATCACTATGATGTAAGGGGCAGGGGTTGAAGCATGACCCAATGCTGTGTGAGCACAGAGGGCTCGGTTACCTGACCCACCTGAGGAGTCCAGGAGAGGCTTCCTGGGGGAGTTGATTGAACTGAGAATGAGGAGGAGTTAGCCCGGGCCTGCTGGAAAGATTTCACCCAGAGGAGACAACTAGTAAAACCTCAGAGGTGAGAAGCAGGGAAGGCTGCAAGGACTTTGACAAGAGATGGTGCTGAAGGGGTGGGTCAAGCCAGATCATGGAGAATCTTGCATTTTACCTTAGCTGCTTGTTCTTGAGCCTCTGTCATTAGAAAGTCACCAAGAGGTTCTTAACAGAGGAATGGTGGGGTCAGACTTGAGTGTGGTTGCTCCCATGTAATGGGGAAGATGAAGTCACTGCTTTTTATGTATCTGAGCTGAGTTACAGATCTTGATTCTGTAGATCATTTATCCTGTATGAGCTTCAATTTCTTCTCCAAAAAATGTGGATAATAATTCCTAACTCATAGGGTGATAGGAGATTTTAATGATCAGAGTTATTAAGAACCTGCCACAGAAAGCGTGTTTTTCCTTCCTATGGGGCTGCCAAGGTCTCTAGTTTCTTGAATTTTAGACCTTGTTTTGGCTAATTGTGGCATTCTCGGTATCTCCACTACTACCCACACACAGATCTCCCAGTAACAGCTTAGAAAACTCACTGAGTTGTGCAGGTAGTCTGGCTGGAGTGAGGATGGGGGGGTGCCAGGAGCCAGTTTCCATACTGTAAGAAGTCACCTCAAACTTAGGGGCTTAAACAATACACATTATTATCTTACAGTTTTGGAGGGCAGAAATCCTAAAATCAAGGTGTTGGCAGGGCTGCCTTCCTTTTGGAGACTCTAGGAGAGATTCTGTTTCCTTGCCTTTTGTAAGCTTCTCGAGGCTGCCTGTGCTTCTTGGCTTTTGGCCACGTCCTGAAGGGTCAGAGCCAGCAGCATGGCATCGTGCAGTCTCTTTGAGTCTCCACCATCACATTGCCTTTTTCCGGCCCTGACCCTTTTGTCTCGCTTATATAATGGGACTGGACATTGGATCTGCCCAGATGATCCAGGATAACTTCCCCATCTCGAGATCCTTAATGTAATCACATCTGTGAAATGCCTTTGGCCACGTGCAGTCACAGGCTCACAGGTCCCAGGGATTCAAATGTGGTCGTCTTTTGGGGAACTTCAGCATTCTGTCTACCACAGTGAGCAAACACATGTAACTTAACCACGTTCATTTGTTCATGCGTTTATTCTGACATTATCAGGTATTCACTGTGGAGGAGCCACGGTGCTGGCCTCCTTACGTAGTAGGTCTCCTTATCCTTCGAACAGCCCATAGAGTAGGACGATTTCATTGCAGCCATCCTGAGTCTTGATTTCCCCGTCCATGAAGCAAGCTAGTCCATGTCTGAGCCGGAGCTGGGGCCAGGTCCCACTGCGGAGCACACTCTGCCCCAGCCTTGTCTGAGTTTGCCCTTGGGGAATCCCGGAGCCTGGGGTTTCCAGCCCGTTTCTGTCCCCTTGGCTCTGAGGGCTCCCCTGCTCCTCCCTCACTGCGCCCCTTCTGTTGTAGATGAAGGAGGAGCGTTTCAGGCAGCTGTTTGCCAACTTTGGCACCCTGACGGACTGCAGTCTGAAGTTCACCAAAGATGGCAAGTTCCGTAAGTTTGGCTTCATCGGCTTCAAGTCAGAGGAGGAGGCCCGGATGGCCCTGAACCATTTCAACAAGAGTTTTATCGACACATCCCGGATCACGGTGAGTCGGCTTCTGCCCGCCTGTGGAAACGGACACCCCTTGATCCAGTCCGGAGCCTGGCTGCATCCGAATCCCCTGGAGAGCTTGTTCAGTTTCTGACTCAGTGTGGGGGTGGGGTGGGACCCAAGAGTACGCACGTCGGAAAGCTCACAGGTGAAGTCAGTACTATGCCCCTGACACACCTGGACAACCACTCGTTCAGACACGATGGGAGCACCCACGCCATGCTGGGGATTTAGAGAAACGTGGTGCCCCTGGCCCCGTCCTCCCGGGGCCGGCAGGTGAATAGGCTGCTTTCACTCGGTGTCGTCAGGACTGTGATGGGGAAGCTCCAGGGACCGCTGGAGAACAGGGGAGGCCCACGTCCTGGCCCCAGAGGTGTCGGGAGAGCTTCCCGAAGCTGGAGGTCCTGTTTGTGCCACTCATGTACATTTAATGACTCAAACATCCTTAACGCTTGGTTGAGAAGAGAAAACCAGATGTTAGACAAGTATGTATCACGTGACTCCATACAGAACCATGTTTCTTATTCTCTCTGTGTATGAAACATAGAAAGAGCTGTTTTACCAAAACATTAGTTTCTCTCTCTGGGTGATAGGAATTGGGGTAAAAACTTTTTTTTTTTCACTTTCCTTGTACGTTGTTGATTTGAGTTTTATACACTGAGTGCATATCATTGCTACAGAAACAGCAAAATTATTTTGAAAGCCTGTAGAAAGGGGTTTGGCAGGCGGACAGCACCCCCTCCCCCCAGGGGTAGAGACAGCGCGGGCGCCCCCGGGGGGTGGCAGGAAGTGCAGCCCATCTCGAGTGTGTTGGTGGGAGATGTGTCAGCTCAGGCCTGACACTGAGCATGTCTGGGCTTCCGAGTGGCCACCCGCCTCTCCCTTCACCCCGGAGCCGTTCTCGGGCCAGTGAGCCCGCTCCGCAGTAATAACAGTGATTTTGGAAGCTGTTAGCTTAGCCTTGCCTCGTGCCAGACCCCGTGTCGGCCAGCCTGGGGGCTGGGTGGCTAAGAACTAGGGCTGTAGAGCCAGACCCCCCGAGTCCCTGTCCCCACTCTGCTACCTTCTCCCTGGGTGACTGGGACAAGCGACTTCACTTGGCCAGTCTGGGAAGTGGGAAGGGTAGTGGTCCCCCCCTTCCGCTGTTTTGGAGGCTCGGGGTCGGCTTGCTCACAGAACACTCAGACTGCCCGGTGGGTGGAATTGGTTGCTCAGTGTAGCAACTGGAATGACTTTAGGGAGGAGAAAGCAGAGGCCAGCAGAGGACGCCCACGGCTGACCCCTGGACAGTAGGAGTTTGAACTGCGTGGGCCCGCCTATACACAGATTTTTTCCATGAACACAGTACAGTATCCTAAATGTATTGTTTCTTATGATTTTCTTTTTTTTTTTTTTAAGATTTTATTTATTTATTTATTTGAGAGAGAGAGAATGAGAGATAGAGAGCACGAGAGGGAAGAGGGTCAGAGGGAGAAGCAGACTCCCCGCGGAGCAGGGAGCCCGATGTGGGACTCGATCCCGTGACTCCAGGATCATGACCTGAGCCGAAGGCAGTCGCTTAACCAACTGAGCCACCCAGGCGCCCTCTTATGATTTTCTTAACATGTTCTTTTTTCCTAGCTCATTTTGTTGTAAATACAGTGCATCATCCATTTGACACAGAAAATACGTGTTAATTAACTGCTCTTGGTAGGGCTTCTGGTCAGTAGGAGGCTATTAATAGTCAGGTTTGGGGGGCAGTGGGAAGTTACACACAGACTTTTCATTACACGGGGGTCAGTGCCCCTAACCCTGTGTTGTTCAAGGGTCAATTGTAATTTGCTTTTACTGGCACAGCTCGTAAGTGGCAACTGCCTTCTTAGAAAGCCTGGCTCCCAGGTGCTGAGGCTAACACCCGCGCTGGGCTGGCGGCTGGTGCCCCCATCACCCTCTCTCTCCCATGCAGGTGGAGTTCTGCAAGTCGTTTGGGGACCCAACAAAGCCCCGAGCCTGGAGCAGACACACTCAGCAAATAAGCCAGGCTAAGAATCCTTCAAAAGACAAAGACTCCGTCCCCACAGAACCCAAGAAAGTGCGTAGAAGGTCACTCCCACCTGTATCCCACATGTCAGCAAGGTGGTCACCCCAGGGGGCGGGGGGGGGGCAGGACAGATGTTTCCAGAAGGCGGACCCTCCCCAGGCAACGTGTCTGTCCCCTCTCACCGTCTGTGCCTTCTGTTTGCAGGATGACAGGACGAAAAAGGTAGCAAGTGAACTGGAGAAGGTGAGTGTGTCCTATGGACCAAGAGGGTGGGTACCCAGGATGGCGCTGGAAGGGCTGTGGCAGGCTCCGATGGCGTGTGGCACCTGGCAGGCAGAGGCGTGCCTCTTGTCCCTCTCACCGCATCTCTGTGGCTTCTTAGTCTCCTTGTCTGATGATGAGTGCAACCGGCTGATCCCAGGGGTCCTCTAGAGACCAGGAGACATGAGTTCGGGCAATACTCTCATGGGGTGAGGGGAGGTTGTCAGGATGGTGTGCCCTTGCTGAGCCTTCTCTCCCTGCCTCCCTGGGGCCACCAGCTGAAGGAAGACACCGAGTTCCAGGAGTTCCTGTCCGTGCACCAGAAGCGGACGCAGACAGCCACGTGGGCCAATGATGCCCTGGACGCCGAGCCCTCGAAAGGGAAGAGCAAGGCCACCAGTGACTACCTGAACTTCGACTCCGACTCTGGGCAGGAGAGCGACGAGGAGGGTGCTGGCCAGGACCCAGAAGGTGAGGGCATCCACGCGCATCCTCCCTGCCAGAGTGCGCGCCCCTTGTGTTGTGTCCTGGCCTGGGTGGCCGTGACCTGGGGCCCCTCGGTGCCAGGCACGGGAGGCAACGTGAGAGACACTGTCCTCTCTGGGGGTGATTATCCCACCCAAGATCTGCCCTGACCCATCCTGGTCACAGCCAGTCCAATGTTTATTGAGCACCTGCTGAATGCCAAGCACTGCTTTGGGCAGTGAGGATATAGCAGCAAAAGATAGAAGAATCCTGCTCACGTGGAGCTGTCATTCTAGTCAAGGGAAAGAAACAATGCAAAATTAAGTCCACAGTTAGGGGTGATATCTAAAGAGGAGCGCCACAGCGAGAAAGCAGGACAGGAGAGCTCCCAGGGAAGGCCTCCCAGGAGGCGGCCCTCGAGCAGAGGCCTGAAGGCGGGGAGGGAGGGGGCCTCTGTCCTCAGAAGGGGCTCACAGCATAGCATGGGGGCAGATGGGAATGAGAGCATTTGCAGTCTAGAGGGGTCACTGTGCTGGTTGTGGGTCAGGCATCAATTTTGCTCAAAGGTGAGAGAATAGATTGAATGTGAATTTTATGCCTGGTAAAGTTTCTGGGCAAAACTGGGGTCTGGAGGACTCCTCGGGAGTGGGTGGGATACAGCAGGGAAGGGGCCAGAAGGGGGCGTCGCAGGCAGAGGGAAGAGTGTGGCCGGGGCATGGGGGAAAGGGAAGCGTAGGCGTTTGAGGGGGCCTACGTGGTTCGGGGTGACTGCAGAGGAGGAGGTAGAGCTGGGGGAGAAGCCAGTCAGCTCACGCCGGCCTGATGAGGAGCATGGGTGTCCTGCAAGCATCTGGAAACCACCGGAAGGTCATAGGCAGGGAGTGACAATCCTGTCTGTACTCTGAACATGATCACACAGGCCGCAGTTGAAAGAGCGGATTGACAAGGGCAGGACCGGTGCAGGGAGCCACGCAGGGAGCCATGTAGCTCTCTGGACTTGTGGTGCATGAAATGTCACAACTCCCACCAGGTACACCCCGTTGAACGTTACATATCAGACCCACCGGGGCTGCTCGGTGGCTCTGCCCTGCCATGCCCTCTGCCATTCCAGGCCTCTGCTTTGCCCACAACCATCCCTGACTCTTAGCCTCCCGTTTTCGCAGAGGAGGATGGCCTCGAGCCCAGGGCGGCCGTGCAGAGGGAGCTGTCGGACATGGATTACCTGAAGTCCAAGATGGTGAAGTCCGAGTCGCCGTTGTCCTCGGAGGAGGAGGAGAGTGAAGACGAAGCTGTGAGCTGTGGGGACGGGAGTGGGGCCGAGGAGGAGGCCCCCAGCCCCGCGCCCGCCCAGCAGGACAGAGGGAGGCCGGGGGCCGGCCCGGAGCAGGGCGCCTCATCCGGGAACGAGACACCGGGGGCGGCCAGAGCTGAGGTGTGTGCGTGGGGGTGCGCGCTGGTGCTGGGGGGGCTGGGGGGGGCAGCTGCCCTTATCCTCACGCACGGTCCCTGTGGCCGCTTTGCTAGCGGGAGTGTGTCAGAAAGGAAAGACAGCTCTGCAGCCCAGCGACCACCTGCAGCTCTCAGCCCTGCCATGTGCGTGCTGTGTGACCTCGGGCAAGCACTTCTTTCCTCTGAGTCTGCCTTCCAGAGCCGTGGGGTGTTACCGAGCTGCATGAGGGGCTGGAGCGTATGCTGCTTTGTGTTAGTAGCAGGGGAGGCAGGCGTGAGCCACGATGGACAGTAATAGATGGAATTAATTGAGTGCTTACTACGTGCTGGGTATAATGTCTGCTTTGTCATTTGTCATTAAATCTCAACGACAGCCTTCCAGGGAGTGGGGGTGTGTAGGGATTCTTGTCCCATTTTACAGGGGAGGAAACTGAGGCCCAGTGAAAGTGACTTGCCCAAGGTCACAGCTGGGAAGTGCTGGGGTTGGGACTCGGACCCAGACCTGCTGGGCTCTGAAGTCTACGTTATAGATGCGTGTGCTACCTTTGGGGACAGGCACACTGTCTCCCACCCGGGCATTCTCTGCTCAGACGCAGGGCAGGTCATGTTTGGGTCCCGATTCCCTCACCTCCCTCTTCCCCACCCAGCCCTCTTCAGGGCTCCAAACATCATCTCCCTCTTTTCTCTTTCCTCGTCCTCCTCACTCCTTGATTTACGGCCCCTTCTCATGACCACACCCCGTCCTTTTCTCCTAAAGTGTATATTCCAGAGAGGTAGTCGAGTATGGCGAGGTCAGAGAGCTCTAGGTTCAAATCCCGGCTCTGACACAGAGTAGCCATGGGGCCTGGGGTGAGGTGCTGCTCCCCATCTAAGATGACGCTCAGCATAGCAGTGGCCTCTGTGGCCGGTTTCCGAAACCCCCGTGCCTAAGCATACGCTGGCACTCACGGTTTCCGAGTTCAGGAAGATACCTCGACGCCTCGTGCACTGTAGCACCCCCCGTGGGGTCTGGGGCAGCACCCCATAATCGGGCACGTGTCTGCTCATGTCTGTTTCTGCAGTGAAACCAGGAATGACCACTCATCCTACAAGGAGTAAAGGCAGACGGTATATTGCCTCACGTCAGCTCAGAGCAGATTTTGATGGCCAGTGACTTCAAGTCAGAGCAACTTTTGTTGCCAAAGGAATTCTAGAAAATTTAGATTTTTTTTTTCAGGGCTATTTAGATTCAGAATTACAAAGAAGATCCTGAACCCATAATACTCTAAGGTTGTTTTGGAGATTCAGTAGGATAGCAGCATTTACAAAGTGCTTTGGACGAGTGTCTGGCCCAGAGTTAAGCCCTGTAGCGAATGTCAGGATATCTCAAGGCTGCATCCAGTGCTCCCTGCCCCTCCTTGTAGCCTGAAGCCCCTGTTAGCACACCCTTACCTCCACCTGCAGCCAGACTGCACACCACAGCAGGCGTGATGCTGGTCAGCATTCCCTGGCTTGCCCTGGCCGAACGTGCCTCACTGAGATGTCTGGCCCTGCCTCCTCCTGAAGCTGTACCAAGGAACTCACTGGGGCCATTTCTGTTCTTTGCCATCATGCAGGCAGACAAACCGGCAAACCAGAAGGAACCCACCACCCCCTACACTGTGAAGCTGCGGGGAGCCCCATTCAGTGTCACGGAGGTATGACCAACAATGCAACGAGGGCAAGGAGAGAGACCCCAGGAGAATAGGAGGCAGGGATGAGGATGCTGGGAGGCTCTGCTGCATGGGGGCTTGAGGATCGTTGAGGACTTGACCTGGAAGGAATTGGGGTCAGAAAGGCAAAGTAAGATCTCAGGCAATGGCAGGGTCAGGAAACAGAGATGGCTCTACAGAGACCAAGAAAGACTGATTTCACTTCCTGGTCCTCTACGTTAGGAATGGCGAACACTCTCTGTTAAAAATTTTTAGCGGCGCCTGTGTGGCTCAGTTGGTTAAGCGTCCCAACTCTTGGTATCAGCTCAGGTCGTGATCTCAGAGTCGTGAGATCAAGCCCTGTGTTGGGCTCCACGCTTAGCGTGGAATCTGCTTGAGATTCTCTCCCTCTCTGCCCTTCCCAGCCCCTTACCCGCTGTGCTCTTTCTCTCTCTCAAAAATAAGAAAAATTTTTTTAAAGGATGAGCTGGTAAATACTTAGGGCTTTGTGATCAGTATGGACTCTGTTGTGACTACTCAACCCTACGTTGTAGCACTGTGGCAGCCCTAGACAATAGGTACACAGACAGGCATGGTTGTGTGCCAATAAAATTTTATTGACAAAAACAGGCCACGGGCCACATTTGGCCCACATACCGTAGTTTGCTGACTCTGGGTTTACACAGCAGAGAAATTTTTAATTTACTTCCTTGTGAAGGTAGTAGAAGTTCAGCATAGGAAATTTTTTTAAAGTAACTAAGTAAAGAGAAGTAATGTTACCTGTAACTAAGATGACCATATTAAATGTCCTCCAGCTGAGTTGAGAGTGGGAAGAGTGCTAACCAGATAGGGTGCCAGGACGTAGGTCTCCTTCCTGCAGGTGTAATCACTGACTGTCCCAGGCAACCTGGGTGTGTTTAAGGTGGGGCAACCTTAAACACACACACACACAAACACACCCTATATCCCACTCAGTGACTACCACTAATGAATTCTGAGCATATCTTCTTAGATACTTTTATACATACAGGTCAGTGTATATAAACATTGACCTCTGTCTCCTAGTTTTATAAAGCATTCCTACAGTAAGAACTATTTCGAAACTTTTTTCCTCCATTACCACAATATGTTAAAAATATCTTTGAATATTGAATTATCTGCTACAAGATCATTGTTCACGTTGTATGTTTTTCTTACTCTGGACACATTGCGATACACTCACCCAGTCCCCTGAGGTGGAGCCTGGGGGTTGTTTCCTATCTTTTGCTGTTAATAATAATGCAGTCAGCATTCCTTGAGACCAGAGGTAAGCAGATTTTTTTTTTTTTCCTGTAAAGGTCAGATGGCACAGATTTTAGGCTTTGGGGGCCATATGGTGTCTGGAGCACATTTGTTCTCTTTTTTAAAATAACCCTTTAAAAATGTAGAAACCATTCTTAGCTCGCAGATCATACAAAAGCAGGCCGTGGGCAATATGACCTGTGGGCCACGGTTTGCCAACCTTTACTCCAGATAAATATTTTATGCAAGCACATGCACGGACATTTTCAAGGCTTTGATACAGAATGTCAGTTGCCCTCTGGAAGCTTTGCTGATTTATACTCCTTTCAGCGGAGTATGAAAGTGCCCACTTCTGTGGACGCTGGGTGTTCATCTTTATCAAGATGACAGGCAAAAATGACATCTCATTTTAATTTATATTTTGAATTATTGGTGGGGTCGATCACTCTTTCACGTTTGTAAATCAATGTACATCTCCTTTACAGAGTGCCCAGCCGTATCTTTCCCCTTTTTTTCTCTTGAAGTGTTCATCTTTTTTGATAGTCTGTATATTTACTAATTTTTAAAAATTAAGCTTATCAAAGTTCATCTATGCAATCCGCATGTGGGTCGCACTAGACTATCTGAGTTAGCTGGTAGAGTCCTTGTGGAAAAAAAAATTCATCTATCCACACTCTTCCGTACATTGCATTTTTTACTTGATGTTACATCGTGGGGATCTTCCATATCAGGACATTCTTTTTCATGATGCATTATATTCTACCGTTTCAATGTGCCACACTTTAGTTTCAATACCAAACATGCAGAAAATCATGCTTTAATTAAAAAAAAAAAAATAAGGAAACACTAGATGGCTTTTTGCAAAATTCATTCATAAAAAATGGTCACTTTTTTCTTCTCCATGAACAGAAACAAAATGTAATAGAAGAAATTGTTTGTATATAAAACAGAAAGAAAATCTATCTCTAGATAGTCTGATAAATATTGTGTGTGTGTGTGTGTGTGTGTGTGTGTCTGTGGAGGCTTTATAGATTAATAAAAGTTTTATAGAGAAAACATTAAACTCCAGTGAGGGATTTAAAAGAATACTTACATAAATGGAAAGCCATTCATTTTTAGCATGTAAAGATGCTAATTCTTCCTTAAACATGAATAAATGAATAAGCTCAGTTATAGCTCATCAGGATGGGGTTGGTGTCATAGATCATTGGGGGATATCCTGCAAGAATAGACCCTTTCCCTACAAGATACTGAAACATGTTTGAAGCAACAGCAATTAAAAGTTTGGTTCAGGCAAAGTTGTGGACAGGTTGATGGAATAGAATAGAATCCAGAAATAACTCCAGTTTATATCACATTTAACTGAGGGTCTTGGGGGGTATCTCATCAATGAAGAGAAGAGAGATTTTTTCTCTAAGTAATAATGGGACAACCAGTTAACCTTTTTGAAGAGAGAAAGAAAGATGGATCCTTGCCTTACTCCTTATAGCAAGGTAAGTTTCAGATGTAACGAAAGCTTTAAAAAACAAAACTATAAAAATTACAGGAGAAAGCATTGGTGAGTTTACTTGTAATATTAGAATGAAACAGGCCTCTCTGAGCCATTTGCAGAACTCGGTGGCTGTAAGGAAAAAGATGGATTAATTGATGACACAACAGTTAAAACGTCTATAAGACAACAAATGTCATAAAGTCGGGCGCCCGGGTGGCTCAGTCGTTAAGCGTCTGCCTTAGGCTCAGGTCATGATCCCAGGTTCCTGGGATCGAGTCCCACATCAGGCTCCCTGCTCCGCGGGAACCCTGCTTCTCCCTCTCCCACTCCCCCTGCTTGTGTTCCTGCTCTCGCTGTCTCTGTCAAATAAATAAAATCTTTAAAAAAAAACAAAAACAAAAACAAATGTCATAAAGTCAAAAGACAACACGTTTGGATAGAACTCAAATACATGGAGGCTAAAGAGCATCCTACTAAAGAATGAATGAGTCAACCAGGAAATTAAAGAAGAATTTAAAAAATTCATGGAAACCAATGAAAATGAAAACACAACTGTTCAAAATCTTTGGGATACAGCAAAGGCAGTCCTGAGAGGAAAGTATATAGCAATACAAGCCTTTCTCAAGAAACAAGAATGGTCTCAAATACACAACCTAACCCTACACCTAAAGGAGCTAGAGAAAAAACAGCAAAGAAAGCCTAAACCCAGCAGGAGAAGAGAAATAATAAAGATCAGAGCAGAAATCAATGAAAAAGAAACCAAAAGAACAGTAGAACAGATCAACGAAACGAGGAGCTGGTTCTTTGAAAGAATTAACAAAATTGATAAACCCCTGGCCAGACTTATCAAAAAGAAAAGAGAAATGACCCAAATCAACAAAATCATGAATGAAAGAGGAGAGATCACAACCAACACCAAAGAAATACAAACAATTATAAGAACATATTATGAGCAACTCTATGCCAGCAAATTAGATAACCTGGAAGAAAGGGGTGCATTCCTAGAGATGTATCAACTACCAAAATTGAACCAGGAAGAAATAGAAAACCTGAACAGACCTATAACCACTAAGGAAATTGAAGCAGTCATCAAAAATCCCCCAAGAAACAAAAGCCCAGGGCCAGATGGCTTCCCAGGGGAATTCTATCAGACATTTAAAGAAGAATTAGTACCTATTCTCCTGAAACTGTTCCAAAAAATAGAAATGGAAGGAAAACTTCCAAACTCATTTTATGAGGCCACCATTCCCTTGATCCGAAAACCAGACAAAGACCCCATCAAAAAGGAGAATTACAGACCAATATCCTTGATGAACATGGATGCAAAAATTCTCACCAAAATACTAGCCAATAGGATCCAACAGTCCATTAAAAGGATTATTCACCATGACCAAGTGGGATTTATCCCTGGGCTGCGAGCCTGGTTCAACATCCGCAAATCAATCAACGTGATACAATACATTAACAAAAGAAAGAACAAGAATCATAGGATCCTCTCAATAGATGCAGAAAAAGCATTTGACAAAGTACAGCATCCTTTCTTGATCAAAACTCTTCAGAGTATAGGGATAGAGGGTACATACCTCAATATCATAAAAGCTATCTATGAAAAACCTACAGCGAATATCATTCAATGGGGAAAAGCTGAGAGCTTTTCCCCTAAGGTCAGGAACGCGGCAGGGATGTCCACTCTCACCACTGCTTTTCAACATAGTACTAGAAGTCCTAGCCACAGCAATCAGACAACAAAAAGAAATCAAAGGCATCCAAATCGGCAAAGAGGAAGTCAAACTCTCACTCTTTGCAGATGATATGATACTGTATGTGGAAAACCCAAAAGACTCCACCCCAAAACTGCTAGAACTCATACAGGAATTCAGTCAAGTAGCAGGATATAAAATCAATGCACAGAAATCAGTGGCATTCCTGTACACCAACAACAAGACAGAAGAGAGACAAATCAAGGAGTCGATCCCATTTACAATTGCACCCAAAACCATAAGATACCTAGGAATAAATCTAACCAAAGAGGCAAAGGATCTGTACTCAGAAAACTATAAAATACTCATGAAAGAAATTGAAGAAGACACAAAGAAATGGAAAAACGTTCCATGCTCATGGATTGGAAGAACAAACGTTGTGAAGATGTCAATGCTACCTAGAGCAATCTACACATTCAAGGCAATCCCCATCAAAATACCATCCACTTTTTTCAAAGAAATGGAACAAATAATCCTAAAATTTGTATGGAACCAGAAGAGACCCCGAATAGCCAGAGGAATGTTGAAAATGAAAAGCAAAGCTGGGGGCATCACAATTCCGGACTTCCAGCTCTATTACAAAGCTGTCATCATCAAGACAGTATGGTACTGGCACAAAAACAGACACATAGATCAATGGAACAGAATCGAGAGCCCAGAAATGGACCCTCAACTCTATGGTCAACTCATCTTTGACAAAGCAGGAAAGAATGTCCAGTGGTAAAAAGACAGTCTCTTCAACAAATGGTGTTGGGAAAATTGGACAGCCACATGCAGAAGAATGAAACTGGACCATTTCCTTACACCACACACAAAAATAGACTCCAAATGGTTGAAAGACCTAAATGTGAGACAGGCGTCCATCAAAATCCTGAAGGAGAACACAGGTAGCAACCTCTTCGACCTCAGCCGCAGCAACTTCTTCCTAGAAACATCGCCAAAGGCAAGGGAAGCCAGGGCAAAAATGAACTATTGGGATTTCATCAAGATAAAAACCTTTTGCACAGCAAAAGAAACAGTCCACAAAACCAAAAGACAACCGACAGAGGGGGAGAAAATATTTGCAAATGACATATCAGATAAAGGGCTAATATCCAAAATCTATAAAGAACTTATCAAACTCAACACCCAAAGAACACATGATCCAATCAAGAAATGGGTAGAAGACATGAACAGACATTTTTCCAAAGAAGACATCCAAATGGCCAACAGACCCATGAAAAAGTGCTGAACATCACCTGGCATCAGGGAAATCCAAATCAAAACCTCAATGAGATACCACCTCACGCCCATCAGAATGGCTAAAATTAATAAGTCAGGAAACGACAGATGTTGGTGGGGATGTGGAGAAAGGGGAACCCTTCTACACTGTTGGTGGGAGTGCAAGCTGGTGCAACCACTCTGGAAAACAGTATGGAGGTTCCTCAAACAGTTGAAAATAGAGCTACCATACGATCCAGCAATTGCACTACTGGGTATTTACCCCAAAGATACAAATGTAGGGATCCGAAGGGGTACGTGCACCCCAATGTTTATAGCAGCAATGTCCACAATAGCCAAACTGTGGAAAGAGCCAAGATGTCCATCGACAGATGAATGGATAAAGAAGAGGTGGTATATATACATACACAATGGAATATTATGCAGCCATCAAAAGGAATGAGATCTTGCCATTTGCAAGGACGTGGATGGAACTGGAGGGTGTTATGCTGAGTGAAATAAGTCTATCAGAGAAAGACATGTATCATATGACCTCACTGATATGAGGAATTCTTAATCTCAGGAAACAACCTGAGGGTTGCTGGAGTGGTGGGGGGTGGGAGGGATGGGGTGGCTGGGTGATAGACATTGGGGAGGGTATGTGCGACAGTGAGCGCTGTGAATTGTGCAAGACTGTTGAATCACAGATCTGTACCTCTGAAACAAATAATGCAATATATGCTAATAAAAAAAAACGAAGAAGAAGAAGATAGCAGGAGGGGAAGAATGAAGGGGAGTAAGTCGGAGGGGGAGACGAACCATGAGAGACGGTGGACTCTGAAAAACAAACTGAGGGTTCTGTAGGGGAGGGGGGTGGGGGGATGGGTTAGCCTGGTGATGGGTATTAAAGAGGGCACGTTCTGCATGGAGCACTGGGTGTTATGCAGAAACAATGAATCATGGAACACTACATCAAGAACTAATGATGTAATGTATGGTGATTAACAACAATAAAAAATTAAAAAAACAATCATGGAACACTACATCAAAAACTAATGATGTAATGTATGGTGATTAACATAACAATAAAATTTAAAGAAGAAAAAAGACAACACAATTTGTAAGCAAACAACAGGCAAAATCTGCTTTCTTTAATTTACAAAGATCAATTGATATTGGGACCTGTGCCCTGATAGGAAAATCGACAAAGGGTAGCAGGTCTTCTTTTTTTTTTTTTTTTTTAAGATTTTATTTATTTTTCAACAGAGAGAGACAGCGAGAGAGGGAACACAAGCAGGGGGAGTGGGAGAGGGAGAAGCAGGCTTCCCGCTGAGCAGGGAGCCCGATGTGGGACTCGATCCCAGGACCCTGCGATCATGACCTGAGCTGAAGGCAGACGCTTAACGACTGAGCCACCCAGGCGCCCAGGGTAGGAGGTCTTCTAAGGAAAAGAATGCATATGGCCAGTAAGGATGCTTGAGTTCACTCATAGTTAAATACAGCTCAAAACTGGAAGATTACATTTTGCAAAAATTTTTAAAGTTCAATAATGCTTTCAGCCACTGTTGGTAGAGTGTGCAGGGAAGCCTTTTAGAGGACAGTTTGGAAGGATCAGTCAAAATTAAGAATATCCATACATTTGACCGAGCAATTTTAATGCTGGGAATTTGCTCTGTAGGCAAGTGAACCAAATATACCAAGATTTCAGTGCAAGAATGTTTACTGCTCTTGTATTACTGTTTTATTTATAACTTAACGTATCAATTTATGTCGTGTCGTTTATAAAGGCAAAAAGCACTAAACAACCTTTACACTTTATCATTAGAGAAGTGGTTAAGTTGGTGGGTCTCAGCTGGGGCTGGTTTTCCTCCTCTAGGGGACATTTGGTAATATCTGGAAATGTTTTTGATGGTTGCAGCTGGGGAGAGGTGCCCCTGGCGTCCGGGGGGTAGAGGGTAGAGATGCTGCCAGACATCCTACAATGCACAGGACAGCCTCTCACAACAGAGAGTTATCAGGCCCAGAATTTCCGTAGTGCCTAGATTGAAAAACTCGAGGTTAACTCAGGTTAACTCAAGTATAGTACATTGATACAGTACAGTATAATGCACCATGAAAAAGAATGTCCTGATATGGAATCCCCAGGCTGTACCATCAAGTAAAAAATGCAACGTAGGGAAGAGTGTGGATAGACAAATTTCTTTTTTCCAGAAGAAGACACAACCTATATCGTATGCTTCTCAGTAGGCACATAAAAATGAGGAAAAGGTGTTTTTGGGAGAATTTGATATTTTTGACATTTTTTTTTTTTAAATGGAGGTAGGAACAGAAAAACTCCACAGCTTTATTGGACTTCATTGTGTAGTGCTTTGATTTCTACAGTTGCCTGGACATTCTAAGCTTCCCCAAAGGCCTCACACCCGTACGCAGATGAGAAGGTATCCCCTACTTTCATTTTTAATAAAAAGCCAACAAGAGTGAGCTGGGCATTGGAACTAGGGGCCATTTTTGTTTTCTTGTTTGTACTTTTCAGCATTCCCTAACATCATATATATTTGCCTGTTTGTGCATTTTTTCTAAAAAATGTGCTTAAGTCACCCTTATGTCCAAAATAGAGAAGGAGTTCAGAAAATCAGGGACCATCTACAACAGCACTTTAAATTGCTGTGTCTCACCTTCGTGAAGTAACATGGACAAATATTCATGTATTCATGAGAAATGACAAAAACCAGAATTAAGCCCAAATATATATAAAAAGGTCCTTAGGAAAAAGATCAGAAACAACGCCAGAAAATGCCGTTTGGGACGTTACTATTTTATATATAGCTCTCTATTTTTCACTCCTCTGATTTTTTGTTCGAAGCTTATCTAAGGTAGTTTTATTTCATCATGGAGAGAAGCTCTGTGTTTAGTGGTGAGGGAGAAACTGACAGGTGAAACGCTGTGGGGACCTTCCTGAATTCGGAAATTTGGCCCACGTTTCTTCATTGGGTTGCACTTCTATTATTGGGTTGATAAAGGAGGGAAAACTTTTCTTCTTGCAGAAGAACGTTATGGAATTCCTGGCGCCCCTGAGACCAGTGGCCATTCGGATAGTGAGAAATGCTCACGGGAACAAAACAGGTAAGGCCTGGGCTGTGCGGGGTGGGTTCGGGGAGACAGAGGGCAGAGATGGAAGGTTGGGCAGCTGCCTCAGGGGAATGTTTTCAGGGTAGCTGTTGTGTTCGCTCTTAGTGTCCCCCGTTCAGTGGGACAGTTGAGGCGCTCGGGACAAGGGTCTGCCTCCGGTGGTGGCCTAGTATGTAGCCTGCCCCTGCCACCCCCACCCCCTCCACCCTCAGCCTACGCTTGTGTTTGCGGGCTCACCTGTTCCATTTAAACACATGTCCCTGGTCCTGGGGCTTTGCTCGGCCAAGTCCACGAGCAGCTCTGCTGACGGGCAGCACTCTGAGTTGCCGAGGATGTGTGGTGTTGCCCTGGCGCTGCCCTCTCCCCCGCCTTCCCCGCTCTGGGTGGCCACCCCCTCCCCAGGCTTCAGAGGAGTGGGGAACATGCTGGTAGGAAGGGTCTGAGCGTGGAGAGCTGGAAGCCTGCCTGTGCCTACTTGCTGGCCAGGTGCGGAGGCTGCAGGACTCAGAGCAGCAGAATCGGTGCCCCTTGGAGAGCCATCCTGAGGGCCTCCGGCTGGGGCAGGCCAGGCAGCACTGGGCAGGCGGGGTGTCCTTGGCAAGAAGACTCCCTCATGGGCAGAGGGGTTGGGAACCGGGGGGGGGCGGGGGGGGGGCTGGCTGTCTGGGGAAGAAAGGGCTCCTGCTTTAAGGGTGGTCTTGTCGCCTTTGAGTGTCAGCATTTCCTCCCCAGCTCTCTGAGCACGAAGGCCTGCTTACCAGGCAGCTCCATTTGGCCAGCCAGCTTTGCCTCCTTGCACACTTACCAAGTGCAGTAAAGGAGGGGGTGACAAGCGCCTGTCCGGGCTCAGATCCCAGCTCAGCTGCTTACAGGCCCTGTGACCCTGGATGAGAGACTTAGCCTCTCTCTCCTCACCTGTGCAGTGGGGCGGTCCTAGCTCGTGATGTTGTGAGGATTCGGTGAGTTAACACACACGGCATTTAAACTATGCTGAATGTCTATTGCACACTCCCTGAGAGCTGCTATTAATAGTGGTGGAGGGGGCACCCCTGCTTTGATGGCACTTTGGAGACCACAGGGTGAGCAGGGGTTGGCCAGAGGGAGCAGGAAAGAGCATATCGGAGCTGTCAGGGCTGAGAGAAAAGCGTACTGGGGGCCCGGGAGCTGGAGGGAACTGGCGTATGAGAATAACGCTTTTGAGGAGAGACAGAATGTCCCCTCGGAAGAGCTGGTGAGGAGGCCGGGGAGCTCACAAATGACCATGGACTCCAGGCTGGGTGCAAGAGCGCAGCAGGGGCTAAAGCATGGGGAGGCCACAAATGGATATAGAACAGTCCCTGGCTGGTGACAGAAGGGTCCTGGGGCTGGGCCCACGAAGTACAGGTGGGCTGGGTGGGGCGTTTGCAGTCATTCAAGGAAGGATCGGCAGTGGGCTGGACTGGGGTGTGGCAGAGGGGGGAGGAAGGGGTTGGAGGACGTTTATGGAGATAGATGAGGTGCCTGCCTTTGGGAACAGAGAGGAAGGAGGAATCCTAGGAGGGAACAAAGAGCCTTGTGATAGAGCCCCAGACCTGTGGGCTTCGGACCAGGTTACAGCACTGCTACCTCTTAAGCTGTGATGCTCTGCTGTTCATGGGGTTGAGGCCCTGTGAGGTGGAGGATGTGAGCCCTCCCGTGCTCCAGGAAACAGTCCTGCATGCTTGTTTGTGTGCACGGGGCAAGCGACAGAGTCCTTGTGGAGGTAGCCACTCAGGTGCTGAGCTGGTCACACTTCCACCTCGGCACGTCTCCTCCAGCGGAGGCTACGGAGCGGGCCCTGGTTCGGGTGGGGTGAGGCTGGAAGGGAGCTGAAGACCTCCTGTGATCCTGCCTCCTGTGGTCCGGCACCTTCGTCTGGAAACCGGCCCGCGGGGTCTCAGCACTGCCTGCAAGGAGAGGTTTGGCCGGGGGTTTGGGGAGAGTCTGCTTGTATTTTGCAGACTTGGCAAACATAGGGGTTTTCCCTCACTTTCTGCTCAGATTCCCCCAAACAGCCAGCACAGTGTGGGTGTTCCTCTGTGAGTCCCACCCGTGTCTGCAAAGTCTCCCTTTGTCGCTGTCCTTTCTCAGGGTACATCTTTGTGGACTTCAGCAGCGAAGAGGAAGTCAAGCAAGCTCTGAAATGCAACAGGGAGTACATGGGTAAGGAGCCAGCCTCTGCCTGGTTGCTGGGCTTCGTTTGCTCATTCGTTTACTCCATACGTTTTGATGGAGGGTCTGCTGTGTGCCCAACACTGGTCTAGTCACTGTGCATACAGCAGGGAGCAGAATAGACCAAAACCTCTGCCCTCCTGGAGGTAAGAGTAAGCTGACATAGAGCAGGAAGAGACAGTCATCAGATGGGCCGGGATTGGAGCAGGTGCATTTTAAAACAGGATTGCATTCACTTGGGCCTCACTGAGAAGGTGACACTGGAGCAAAACCCGGGGATGGGGCAAACTCTGGATTTGTGGGATGGTGCAGAGGCTGTTCATCAACAGTACGAGGCCAGTCCTCCAGGGTTTTCTGTCCTCTGACACCTTTGCCCAGGCAGAACCAGGGAGTGTGCCCTGGTAGAGGATGCAGCACGGTGGCCTGGGGTGACCAGGCAGGCTGCCCCCCAGCCCCCCACCGCCAGGGTTGAAGCCGGATGTGCAGGATGAGTGAGGTCTGGGGAGAGGGCCCTTCTGGTTCAGGCCCAGCCCTGGCTCAGACCGCCACCCCGGGAGGAGTCGCAGGCTAGTTCCAGGCTTGCCCCAGAGCCCTGACTCCTCTCCTCCTGCAGGTGGGCGCTACATTGAGGTATTCAGGGAAAAAAACATCCCTACGGCCAAGGGGCCCCTGAAGAGTAGTGCCAAGCCCTGGCAAGGCCGGACCCTCGGGGAGAATGAAGAGGAGGAGGACGTGGCCGACTCCGGGAGGCTCTTCATACGAAACCTGCCCTACACCAGCACCGAGGAGGACCTGGAGCAGCTCTTCTCCAAGTTTGGTAGGGGCACCGCCTCCCACTGCCTCATAGCACGTGGTGCGCGAGCAGACGGCCTGGGTTTGAGCGCGGCCCACCTCCTGTCAGCTCCTGACCACGGGCAAATGGCTTCCCGCTCTTGTCTCTGTTCTGTCATCCATAGATGGGGCTGATGACCCCTGAGCTGCTGCGAGCGCTCACACGTCATGGACATAGGGTTAGCAGGGCTCCCAGCAAAAGGTCGTGTCACAGGCGTCGTGTGCTGTCTGAACCCATTGTCTCCTTGCTCTCACTGTCTGAACTCAGAACCGTCGAGATTTGGAAACATTCTGCTGAGCTAGCCCTTGCTGTCCGAACTCTTGCTGCTGAGAGTGTGAAGTCCAGTCACTGGGGGCAGGAGCGCGACAGGGCTCCTCAGTCTGAGCTCCACTGTCTGAGGCCTTGCTCTCCAAACTGAGCGTCCCAAGTTGATGTGATAGGGTCACGTTTGTCATGGTCACTGTTTCTGCTGCTATTTCTCAGGCGAGAACAGGAAGGCCTGAGGTTCCACTTGGCATGCAGGGCTGTGTGTTCATAAGGGCGTGGCTGTTGAAGGGAAGGAAGTTAGGGTTTGAGATGGAGGGTGAGGTCTGGATGCTTTGGGATCCCTCACTGCTGTTTGGAGGCCACCTGCAGGTCGTGCGGGCAGGGAGGCCCTGGGTGGGACTCTGCCAGCAGGCGCCTTTGTTTGACCTCCCAGCCCGCGGCCTCTGGTTTGCACAGCAGGGCCAGGCTGCCCAGGCTGGGGGATGAGCCGCGGCCTCCCAAGTTTCCGTGGGGGAAGACAAAGACCGAGGGGGGGTGTGGGCACCCCCTGGTGTTGAGAGCAGAAGCCGCTTCAGAAGGGCTGTACTTGGACCCAGCACACCCCTCCGGGGGGGCACTAACTTTGGAGCGGGCGTGGTTCAGTACACTATGCACGTATTGACGCATTTATGGGCCGGCTGACAGCTGCCCTGTGAGCTTGGCATTCTTAGGATGCCACTTTACAGATGAGAGACTGAGACACGTGGAGGCTAGTCGTTTGCCCCTGGCCACACACGTGGTAGGTGTTGGAGGCAGGATCCAGGCCAGGCTCGTGTACTTCTAGGGTAGACACATAAAGGATTGTGAAAGGCCACTCTTGACCTCTGAGGTGGTCTCACGGCAACCACGGCTGTGGCCCACCCAGAAGAGCTGGGTGCCCAGCACTCAGGCCCATCCCCAGCCCCCAGGATGCTGACACCTGTCCTTCCTCAGGTCCTCTGTCTGAGCTTCATTACCCGATTGACAGCCTGACCAAGAAACCCAAGGGCTTTGCCTTCGTCACCTTCATGTTCCCTGAGCACGCCGTGAGGGCCTACGCAGAAGTGGACGGGCAGGTGTTCCAGGTGACTGCTCCGGGCTGGCGGGTGGCGGCTGGGCTCAGGTGATGGGGAAAGGATGTGTGGGCCCACACGCACGAGCACCCACATTTCTTAAGAAAACGCAGATGGTGTGCGAAGCCTCTGCCTCACAAGAGCCTGTAGAGGGGAGCTCCCCCGGGGCAGGGCCCTTCAGCACCTAGGACAGCACCGGGCACACCCTGGAGGCTCGAAAACTATTTGACAAATGAACACATATGCTCTGTGTCCCCAGAAATACTGTTTGGGAGAGAAATAAAGAAGGAGAGTTTGGACTGGTCATGTTAAGTGGGCACAATAGGTTGTAAAAAACTCTTCTTCTTTTCCAGTGTTACCGAGCAGTGTGCTTTGCCTGCCTGCTCAAGCCCAGGCCACCTCGAGCTCCCTTTCTCCTTTTTCTCCCCACTCATTTGTTCATTCATGATTTGTTGATCTCCAGGGACCCCCCCCCCCCAGCCAGACCGGCTCCCACCCGCATTGAGCCCTCACTTCAGTGTGCCGGGACAGGACGGGGCCTGGGCTTGAGGGGGTGGGGGCTGCTGCAGGGGTTTTATAAAATGCTCAGTTTCTGTCGTGAGGCTGTGTCAAAAGTCCCCCACCAGCGTAGGAACCCTGATTCGTGTGGCCAGGCCCCCATTCTGGTGTGAGGGTGGCCATGTGTCCTGACTAGGGTTATCAGCACTGGGTCCAGCCTACCAGTGGAGGGGCTAATGTCCTGGGGCAGGATGTGGACCCACCTATCCCCTTCCTCTCTCTACCCTCTTCTCGTCATCCCCTTCCAGGGCAGAATGCTCCACGTGTTACCATCCACCATCAAGAAGGAAGCCAGCGAGGATGCGGACACCCCAGGATCATCGTCCTATAAGAAGAAGAAAGAATCTAAAGACAAAGCCAACAGCTCCAGGTCCTTACCCGCTACCAGCCTCTAGGCCCTGCTCCTTCAGCCTCCTACATGCTCTGGCTCCTTGGGATGGGTTCAGCCTCTCATCTGTGACCTTCCTGAGCCCCACTTTCATCATCTGCTTAATGGGGGAATCACAGTGGTGCCTTACTTTCTTGGTGTTATAAGAGTTAAATGAACTGATATAAGCAAAGTGCTTAGTCCCTGGCACAAAGTAAGTGCATGTCAAATGTTGGGGATCATATCGTCATTGCTCACATCTCCAGGCCCTGGGTTCTTGGCCCACACCAGGTAAGTTGGCAGGAGGAGGAGGCTTTGGGGGCTTAGAAGGGCAGGTGATGAGCTTACTTCTTAGAGTTTTTGCATCTGAGAAGATACTCCGCTCGTTCAGCCTTGGTCTGACTTCTCTGTTCTGCCTCTGCCTCTCAGCTCTCACAACTGGAACACGCTGTTCATGGGCCCAAACGCCGTGGCGGATGCCATTGCACAAAAGTACAGCACCACCAAGAGTCAAGTGTTTGACCACGTGAGTGGGCGTCCCGTCTGACATGCCCGGCTCTGGGCCGATCACAACGGGAGAAAGAGCAGGGGAGGGGCCGTTGTTCTGGGGTCATCTACAAGCCCTGGCCTCAGGCTGAAGTTGTAGGCATCCTTGGGGCCTTCTCTGGAAGTATCCTCTCCACGCTCCAGGCCTGCTTCTCCCGGGCTTATGTGGAGCCAAGCCAGAGAGACTCAGCTGTGCGGTGCTCCTCACCACAGCCCGATGAGCTAGGTGCTCCTGTTGTCCCACTTTCCAGATGAAGAAACTGAGGCCTAGGGACACAAAGCAACCTTCCCAGGGTGACACACCTGGAAAAGGCAAAGATGGGATGACAGGTCTGTCTGACTCTGGTGCCCGTGCTCTGAACCCCATCACACACCTCTCCAAGGGTTGTCACACGCATTCCCTCGGCTGGGGTGGCCCCAGTCTTTGAGACGAGGAAAGGGGAGTCACCGGTCCCTGCCCCTCTTCCCATAGAAGTCAAACTGGATTCCTGCTGACTTTTCCCATCCATCTCTCCAGCCCCCTCAGATCACACACCTTCCTTAAAATGCACATGTCTCTACTTAAACCATGGCTGAGTCCATCTCTGGCAAGATGTTGGAGTATGTTTTCCAGCTAGTCAGAAAGGATATCCATGGTTTTGCCCCATAAACCGTAGACCCATTGTCATTTCCTCCTGCCCAGCACTCAAAGTCAGCACTGCCCATTGGAACTAGAATGTCTGCCCCATGTGTAGTGGCAGACATCAGAGTGGCCATGTTTCTTAAAAAGCAAAAAGAAACAGGTAAGATTCGTTTTCAAAATCTGTTTTACTTAATTCAGTATAGCCAAAGCATGACCAAGATACCGTTTTAATGTAATACACAGTATGAAAGATGACAAGTTAACTTTGCCTTCTGTTTTCTCGCGAAGTATTCGAAATCCAGTGCGTGTTCTATACTCCTAGCACTCCTAGCCACGTTTCACATGTTCAGTGCCCGGATGTGGCTCATGGCCACCATGTCGGGCAGCTCAGCTCCAGGCCTTAGCCGGTTAGGAAGCATGCAGTCAGTTCAGATCCCACAGGCACTCGACACAGAAAGTCTTGCTCTTCTAGAACCTTACAGAGAAGGAAGACGCACATAAGCAGGTGCAGTGTACGTGTTATAGCTAGGAAGGTTAAGCTGAGTAGGGGAGAGGGTGTGAGAGTGAGGGTCACCAGTCAGCAGGGTGACATCTAAGCAGAAACGGAATGGAAGGAGGCATCAGGGGGTAAGCACCATGCAGGCGGAGGTCAGCAAGTGCAGAGGCCCGAGGTGGGGATGAGGTTGGCCTGCTCGGCTGGAATGGAGGGTGGGGAGTGAAGCTGGAGAGGTAGGCATGGGGTTCTGGATTTACTGTGTGAGACATGGAAGCCCGAATCACGAAATTACTGTGGGTCCGTGAGGGGCACTGGCGGCCCTGTCCAGCTGTCTCCTCAGGCTGTTGGGAGGTGGAACGACGGACCTGTCACCAGCCCACCAGCCGACAGGGCCTCTTCCCTTCCCGCCTCCCACAGGAGACCAAGGGCAGCGTGGCTGTGCGCGTGGCCCTGGGGGAGACCCAGCTCGTCCAGGAAGTGCGGCGCTTCCTCCTCGACAACGGGGTCAGTCTGGACTCCTTCAGCCAGGTGGGTACCGGCTCAGCGAGCCACCAGTGGCTGGAGAGCAGAGGGTGGGGTTTCAGATCCGGGACGTGCTGGCGGGTTTGAGGATCCGGCCTTTCAAGGATGATGATTATTAAACTCTTAAGTTGTCTCTAACGAAGAAAATATCACCTGGGCTCAGACAAGGGGCCCATCTGACTCCGATGGTATCTCTTGGGGGCTGTGTGCTTGCCCACACAGAAGAGAGGGGCCCCACCCAGTACCTTAGTAGGAGCACCTGTTGTCTGACTGGGAGTATAGACCTTCCTTGGACCAGGTAGGATAGAGGCCAGGACTCCTGCATGCTCATTCTCCACCAGGTAGGAGTTTAGACCACCTCCCATCCTCCCCTCCCTTTCACAGGCTAGGAAACTGAGGCCCAGAGAAGGGTTGGGGTGGTGACTTAGAGGTCAAACACCGAGCCTGTGGCAGGAGCCTGGACTAAATCTCGACTTCTGACTCCCAAATAGCCCTCTTGGCTGTTCAGGCCAACCTCCAGGGCGAGTGGAATGGAAAGGGCGGGTGGATGCGTGAAGTACAGATGCTGACAGCTAACACTTAACCGGGACTCACCAAAGTGTTCCCCTAAATTTGTGTTTTATTATTCATTTCCCTCATGTGACAACCCGGGAAAGCAGCCCTGCTGTGTTCACTTCGTGGTTCATAGAGCCTAAGTCACATGCTCCAGGTCACACAGCTGGTCGTGGATCGGAACGCCCCAGAGCCCACGCCCCTAACTGTTGTCCTCTGCGGCCTCAGTGGCACCTGAAGCCCACTGGGGGCCAGCCCTTCCCACCTGCAGATGCCTTCCACCTCACCCACCTCACTCAGTCCTCACAGCAACAGTGAGGCCTAGAGGATGGGTGTTACTGCCCGTTTTGCTGGCAAGAAAACTGAGGCCAGAGGGAAAGCAACTGACCCAAGGTTTCAGGTTAGATTCGTAGCCAAGCTGAGACTCCTGCTCAGATACCCCATATGCCTGGAGTTTGGCCATTATATCTTGGCTCTTCGGTGCCCCCGCTACATGGTTTTTCAATAAACTGATCGCTGACATTTACAGAGTGCATATACTGTGTGCACTTGGCTCGTGTTAACGCACGTAATTAAATCCTTCCCTGAGGTGCTCCTGTGAAATAGGCACCATGTCCTGGCGTTAGGTGAGGGGCTGAGGCCGAGTTAAGTACGTCTCTCAGGGCCATGCATCTGCTGTCTTGTTGGACACTCTGGAAGGCCCAGCAAGGGCTGCGGGTGGACACTGGCAGGATCTGCCATGGCTCAGAAGTGGAGGGGCTGACATGTGACCCGGGCTCTAGAGCTGGGGCCCTCACCTCTGCCCACTCGGAGGAGCCGCCTCTCTCCCTAGAGCGCCACGCCCAAGGCAGGGGTTTCAGGGGCCCGCTCCCCAAGCGCCTGGTACTTGAGGTCCCGAAGGGCTGCCTGGTGCAGAGACAGCTGCAGATCGGAGTTGGGGTCGGGCCGGGGATCCTCCCTCCCGTTGCCCCACGTGTGTTGATTCCCTCCCTGCAGGCGGCGGCCGAGCGAAGCAAGACCGTGATCCTGGTGAAGAACCTCCCGGCGGGCACCCTGGCGGCGGAGCTGCAGGAGACCTTCGGCCGCTTCGGCAGCCTGGGCCGCGTGCTGTTGCCGGAGGGCGGCATCACCGCCATCGTGGAGTTCGTGGAGGCCCTGGAGGCCCGCAAGGCCTTCAGACATCTGGCCTACTCCAAGGTAGGGCTGCCAGGGCCTGCTCAGCAGAGGGCCGAGGGGGCCGACGGACCGGCAGGCTGCCTTAGCGCAGACCTGGCCAGTGCGGCACTGTCTGCAAACCAGCCTCCTCCGACATGATCTACGACCCCACCCCTGAGAGCACCTCCTCGGGATGGGAGCATGTGAGAGAGTCGCTCTAGAGTTCCCCCAGAGAGCATGCCCTGGCTCCGTGCTGCACTCTGGCTTTCCTTGGCTCTCCACTCCTATGTGAATCAGAGCCACCATTCTGGGCGCTTGTGGTATCTTGTTTCCAGTAAGTTGAAAGTCACTTCTATAAGAAGGCGGTCTCCTGTTTCTCAATAAAGAGAGAAAGAAGTCACGTGTATACACGTCTAGAGTAGTACGTTAGTTTCTTGTGATGGCCACAGGGGCTTAAAACAGCAGAGCTGTATTGTCTCACAGCTCTGGAGTCCCGAAGTCTGAAATCCAGCTGTCACGGGGCCCTGCCCACTCTCCAGGCTCTCAGAGACCCTTCCCTGCCTCTGCCAGCTTCTGGTGGCACCACGTGTCCCTTGACTCGTGGCCACGTCTGTCCGGTCTCTGCCTCTGTCTTCACGTGGCCTTCTTCCTCCATCCCCAGATCTAACTCTGCCTTTCTCATGTGCAGACACTTGTCATGGGATTTAGGGCCCACCCAGATAACCCAGATGCTCTCATCTCAAGATCCTTCACTTGATGATAGTTGCAAAGATCTTTTTTCCAAATAAGTCCCATCCACAGGTTTCCGGGGTTTTGGGATGTGGACATATCTTTATGGGGGGGAGCACCGTTCACCCACAATGAGTAGCTTCTCTTTATCAGGCACTTTAGCCCTCTGCAGACTATTTATCAGTGTCAGGTTTATCCTTGTTGTAAAAAGAAAGAATCTGCATGCACATGCATTGCCTGGGGGTGCGGGGGAGCAGAATGTGTGTTTCTGACGGCCCTGCCACACTTCTCCCACAGAGCTGCATTTCATCAGTGATCCCGCCTCCCCGTCCTACCCCCATCACTGATCCCGCC